CAACCACGGTCCTCGGGATTTACCCAGAGGAGCTAAAAACTTAGGTCCGTGCCCAAACCTGCACACGGATGTTTACAGCAGCTTTATTTATTTATTTTTTTAAATTCTTTTTTTTTTTAACGTTTTATTTATTTTTGAGAGAGACAGAGACAGAGTGCGAGCAGGGGGAGGGGCAGAGAGAGAGGGAGTCACAGAATCCGAAGCAGGCTCCAGGCTCCGAGCGGTCAGCACAGAGCCCGACGCGGGGCTGGAACCCACGAACCGTGAGATCACGACCCGAGCCGAAGTCAGACGCTTAACCGACTGAGCCACCCAGGCGCCCCTACAGCAGCTTTATTTATAACTGCCAGAAGTCAGAGGCGGTCAGATGTCCTCCAGCAGGTGCATGGATAAATGAGCTGTGGTCCAGCCAGCCAGCGGAATATTATCCAGCACTAAAAAGGAACGAGCTCTCAAGCCTTGAAGAGACGCAGAGGAAACTTCAATGCAGAGCACTAAGTGAAGCCAGTGTGAAAAGGCTACAAGCCATTTGATTCCAACTGTATAGCATTCTGGGAAAGGCAAAACTATGGAGACAGTAAATAGGTCAGTGGTTGCCAGGGGTCGGACGGAAGACGGGATGAACAGGCAGTGCACAAAGGATTTTTAAGGCAGTGAAACTACCAACTACGATACTGTAAAGGTGGATACGTGTCATTACAAATTTGTCCAAACCTATAAAATGCACAACACCAAGAGAAAACCCTAATGTAAACTATGGACTCTGTGTGATGACGTGTCAGTGTAGATTCATGGATTGTAACAAACGCGCTACTCTAGTGGGGATGCTGACCATGTACAGACACAGTTATGTCCCTGCGGAGGTAGGGGGGATGTGGGAAGTCTCTGTGCCTTCTGCTCAACATTGCCCGGAACATAAAACCGCTCTCAAAAATAAAAGCTATTAAAAATTCACTGAAGGGGCTCAATGGCCGATTTCAACAAGAAGGAGAAAGGGCCATTGAACTTGAGGATAAGCAGTTGAAGTTACCCAAACTAATGAGCAGAAAGAAAAAACAACTGAGAAAAATGAACAGAGCCTGAGGGACCCGAGGGACATCATACCAACATCTGCAACAGCGACGTCCCAGAATGATGAGAGAGAGGAAAGGGAACAGAAAAACATTTTTTTGAAGAATTGGCCAAAAACTTCCCAAATTTGATAACAGACATAAATCCACCCACTCCAGAAACTCAACAGTCTCTAAGCACAATGAACTCAAACAGATCTGCACTACCACACATCACAGTCATACTGTCAAGAGTCAAACGGAGAAAGTGCGAGAAGGACCTTGTCACTTACAAAAGCACTTCAGTAACACAGCTGAGGTCTTGTAAGAAGTGAGAGAGCCCAGAAGGTAGTGGAATGACATATTTAAAATGCTGAAAGAAAATCACATCAACCGTCAACTAAAAAAAATCCTTCAAGGGGCTCCTGGGGGGCTCAGTCAGTTGAGCATCTTGACTCTTGCTATCGGCTCAGGTCACGATCCCAGGGTTGTGGGATCAAGCCCGGTGTCAGGCTCCACACTGAGTGTGGAGCCTGCTTGGGATATTCTCTCTCTCTCTCTCTCTTCTCTCTCTCTCTCCCTCTGCCCCCTTATCCCTGCTCGCTCACATGCTCTCTCCCCCTCTCTCTCCTAAGTAAACATTTTAAAAAATCCTTCAAGAATGAAGGAGAAATTAAGGCATTCTCAGATAAACAAAAGCTAAGAGCACTCATTACTAGCAAACCTGACCTATAGAAACATGCTGAAGGGAGTCCCATAGACTAAAATGAAATGAAATTCAACAGTAACTTGAAGCCATATGAATAAATAAAGAAAAGTGGTAAAGATTACTACGTAGGTAAATGCAAAAGTCTGTATTACTGTACTTTCTTTGAAAAAAATGTTTTTTAATGTTTATTTTTGAGAGGGGGGGAGGGGCAGAGAGAGAAGGGGGAAGACACAGAATCTGAAGCAGGCTCCAGGCTCTGAGCTGTCAGCACAGAACCATGAACGGTGAGATCATGACCTGAGCCAAAGTCGGACACTTAACCGACTGAGCCATCCAGGCGCCCCGTGTATTACTGTACTTTCAGTTTGGAACTTTTTTTCCCTATGTGATATAAAAGGCGGATGCATAAAACAGTAATTATAAATCTGTGTCAATAACACCACGAAAGCAGAGGACACAGATGTGTAGCAACAGTGATCACTGACTCTGCAAACTAAAAGCTAGTATTATTCAAACTGGGTTACTGTTAAGATGGTAATTGTAATCCCAAGGTAATCATTAAGAAAACTTCTAAAATGTACAGAAAAGGAAAAGTGAAGAGAATCAAAATGGTACACAAAATATCAATGTACCTTAGAAAGGCAGTAATGGGGGAATTGAAAAAACAAAAAACAAAAACCAAGCAGGACATACAGAAAACAAATAGTTAAATGGCAGATATAAGTGGTTCTTTTCCAGTAATTACTTCAAATGGAAATGGATTAAACTTTCCAATTAAAAGGCAGAAACTGGCAGAATGGATTAAAAACCAAAACGTAATCCACCCATATGTTGTCTGGATTACAAACTCACTTTAGATACAAAGACACAAAGAGGTTGTAAATAAAAAGATGAAAAAAGACAGTCCATGCAAATAGCAACCAAGCGAGCTAGGGTGGGGGCTATGTTATCATTAGACAAAAATTTAAGCCAAAAAAAAGTTACATCAAGAAGACATAACCATATAAACATATGTGCACTTAACAGAACCCCAAACTATATAGAGAAAAAATTGACAGACTTGATGGAAAACATGGACAGTTCTACATTAATAGCTAGAAACGTCAACACCTCCCTTTCAATAATGGATAGAACAGAGGCACGTGGGTGGCTTAGTCAATTAAGAATCCAACTCTCGGGGCTCCTGGGTGGCTCAGTTGGTTAAGTGTCCAACTTCGGCTCAGGTCATGATCTCGCGGTCTGTGCGTTCGAGCCCCACACCAAGCTCTGCACTGGTGGCTCGGAGCCCAGAGCCTGCTTCGCATTCTGTGTCTCCCTCCCTCTCTCTCTCTGCCCCTCCCCTGCTTGTGCTTGCTCGATCTCTCTCACACAAAAATAAACAGACATTAAAAAAAAAAAAAAAAAAAAAAAAAAAAAAAAAAAAAAAGAATCCAACTCTTGATTTTGGCTCAGGTCATGATCTTATGGTTTGTGGGATTGAGCCCCACACCAGGCTCTGCGTGGAGCCTGCTTGGGATTCTGTCTCTCCCTCTCTCTGTCTCTCTCTCTCTCAAAACAAATAAATAAACCTAAAAAAAATGGATAGAAGAATATGAAATCAAGGGCTTGAATAGTACTACAGCCAGGCACTATTCTGGGATTCAACAACAAAGACACAAAAACCCTTGCCTTCAAAAAATACACAAGATTTTAAAGTACAGTACGTAGTGTATTAGAAGAAAGATCAAGCAGGGAAGGGGAACAGGACGGTGAGAGGTTGCACGTTTCACTCAGCGTGGTTGGGGAAGACCTCACTAACGAGACGACATCCGAGTGAAGAGTAGTTCTCCTGTCCCTCAATATCACTTAGCATGCTACTTCGAGAACTGTGTGCCAGACAGACTCCCGCTCTAGCTGGCGAGCTCCTGTGGGCCCGGACTGCTCCCAGCTCCCAGCACGGAGCTTGCGCACGGGCCGTTCGGCAGGCTCAGTGAACACACGCCCGCCAGGTCAGAAGGTGACAGCAGCTTACAAACAGCTACAGAACGGAACTAACACCCTTGGTCGTTCATGACATTGGTTTCCATGCGGTCGGTCCGCCAACTCAAGCGGCTGGGTGCAAAGTGAAAGGAGTTTGTTTTTCCAAACACAGGTCTCGCTGACGGAGAAACCGGGTGTATCCCCTTAGGTCAACCGTTAATAAGGAAAACCTCGCAGGCTGACCTGGTCTCAGATCCTCATTAATCTTCCCCTAACACACATTTTACACACACAGTGGTCCCCTCTCATCCATGGTTTCCCTTTCGGCGGTTTCAGTCACCCACGGTCGGGAAGCAGGTGATCCCCCTTCGGACGGTATCGTCAGGTCAACAGAGGCCTCACACTGTGTCACAACACCTGTGCCATCCACCTCCTTCACCCCATCCCGGGGCATTTTGTCATTCCCCCATCCTCACAAGAAGGGTGAGGGGCGCCTGGGTGGCTCAGTTGGGTAAGCACCAACTTTGGCTCAGGTCACGATCTCGCAGTTCATGGGTTCGAGCCCCGCGTCGGGCTCTGTGCTGACAGCTCAGAGCCTGGAGCCTGTTTTGGATTCTGTGTCTCCCTCTCTCTCTGCCCTTCCTCTGCTTATGCTCTCTCAAAAGTAAACAAACTTTTTTAAAAAATTAAAAAAAAAAAAAAGGAGAAGAGTGAGTGCAGGACATTAAGATATTTTGAGAAAGTGAGGACGACATTCACATGACTTTATTACAGTACGTACTTAGAAGTGTTCAATTTAAAAAAATTTTTTTTTATTTTGGAGGGGCAGAGAGAGAGAATCCCAAGCAGGCTCCACACTGTCAGCCAGAGCCCGAGTCGGGGCTCGAACTCCCCGAACCCCGAGATCCTGACCTGAGCCAAAATCGAGAGTCAGACGCTCACCCGACTGAGCCACCCGGGCGCCCCATGAGCGTTCAACTTTATAATGAGTTACTGTTGTTCGTCTCTTACTATGACTACTCTGTAAAGGAACCCCCGTCGCAGGTGCGTGTGGGCAAGAAACCCGGGGCACACACGGGCTTTAGTACCACCTGGGGTTCCAGGCACTGCATCCTGTGATTGGGGGTGGGGGAAGCTGCTGTAAAAGCAGAAGCCGAGGTCAAAATTCTAGTTAAAACCGGGAGGAGCGTTCGCCAGGACTCCTCTTGGGAGTCGTGAGTCCCTGTGCCTCAGACCCTCCTCCCCTAAGCAGGAAACCCGCCCCAGACGCCCCGCCCCCTGACCTGTACCAGGCTCATCTCCAGCTGCAGCGCGTCCCTCTCCCTCCGGGCCGTGTCCAGCTCGCCCTCCAAGCGCCGCACCTCGGACTGCGCCAGCGCCAGCTGCTGCTGGGCCTCCCGCGCTGCCTGGGCCTCCCTCTGTGTGTTCCCCTGCGGGAGGACATCAAACCTAAGGACGCGCCGCGTGTCCCCGCGCCCCGTTACCCCTGGCCCCGCGTCAGCCTCCCCCACCCTAAACCCCAAGCTGCTTCTCTCCCTTTCACATGTGACTACTTCCTCATCTGGTCCAGCTCACTCTTCTGCCTTCCGCGTGGTGGCCGCCCCCCAGCCCTCCGCGCCGGCCTAACACCCTCAGCCTTGTCCCGCGGCGACAGCCCTGCGCTCTCCGTGCCAGTCCCCTACACGCCACGTTCCGACATCGCGTCTCATTCCGCTATCTTGCCCCGCACCTGCTCCCTCTTCCCCGCCTGCCACTCTTACCTTCTCCTGCTCCAGCTGGGCCTGCACGTCGTCCCGCAGCGCCCGGTGGCGCTCCTCCAGCTGGCGCTCCTGCTCGGCCCACGCCTGCCGTTCCCCTTCCAGGGCCACCTTCAGTGTCTCCAGCTGCCGGTGCTCACTGAGCTGCCCGGCCCGGGCCTCGTCCCGCTCTTCCTGCAGAGCCCGGCACCGCTGCTGTTCCAGCTCCAAGCTCAGGGTCAGAGCCTGCCTCTCCTCCTCCTATGGCCCCAGGGGAAACCAAGCTCCTTACGAGCCCGTCCGACGCCAGCAATCTGTCCCCTCGCCCCACACAGAAGACCAGCGCCCTGAGAATTACGTCCACGAGAAACACAGCAGTTGGCCAGCCCACGGGATTAGGATATAGTAAATAAGAGCTTCTGTTCCGGAATTAGGTACATCTGGGTTCAAATCTGTCCCTTCCTATGCGTTCTGAGGCACACGTCTCAATCTGCAAACGGGCATCATGCCAGGGTCTACCTCGCGAGGATTACAGTGCAAAGCGCACAGGAAGTAATCAGCACGGGGCCCGGCACACGGTGAGCACTCCGTACACAACAGCCATCACTATCATCATCCAGAGAAGTTCCACGGAGACCAGAAAATCCAGCCCGCAAAGTCACGTCCTAGCCAACCAGCACCCATCACCCATACTGTTGGACAAAGCCTGTTAAGATGAGAAGTACCAAGGGCGCCTGGGTGGCTCGGTCGGTTAAGCGGCCGACTTCGGCTCAGGTCATGATCTCGCGGTCCAAGAGTTCGAGCCTGCATCGGGCTCTGGGCTGACAGCTGGGAGCTCAGAGCCTGGAGCCTGTTTTGGATTCTTTGTCTCCCTCTTTCTCTGTCCCTCCCCCACTCGTGTTCTCTCTGTCTCTCTCACAAATAAAACATTAAAAAAAGTAATAAAAAAACTAAAAGATGACAAGTACCAGCCTGCACGTAGCAGGCACATGTCGTGCACACGGTGAGTTCCAAACCTGGCTGCTCGTTCACGTGGGTAATCCTCTTGTCACTTCAGCAGTAAGAAACCTGACGGAGTCTTGTCCCACACCCGGCTTCGCCATGCCCTACACTACAGTTCCCAAGCCTGGCTGAACAAAATCAGCTAGGAAACTGCTGAAAACATTTAGGCTCCCAGCCCCACCATATGCCTACTGAATCAAAACCCCTGGCAGTGGGTCCCAGAAATCTACATTTTAAAGTAATCCCCCAGGTAATTCTAACGAGGAAATAATTTGCTGAGTTTCTTAAGCTAACTTGGTGGCAGAGCCCTGCTTGCTGAACAAGTGTTCTAAGATCAGTCTTTGGGAAACACTCCCCCAGTGCAGCTCCCACAACCCGCCAACGGCAAGCACCCCTCCAGAACTAATTAGCGGCTTCCACCGGAATCAACCCAGTCCAGCGTTCTCACCAGCGTCTCTCTTTCCCGTTGCTGCAGTCTGGCGCCTTCCTGCTCACGACTCAGGGCCTCCATGGCCTCAGAAAGGCTTTGCTCCAGGTGGGTTACTGTCTTTCAGGGACAGGGGGACACAAGACAGGGGAACTGACGAACTCACAGTTCAAAAAGCGTCAATGAGATAGACTTTAAAAGTAAGACCTGGGGCACCTGGGTGGCCCAGTCGGTTGGGCATCCGACTTCGGCTTGGGTCACGATCTCGCGGTTCATGGGTTCGAGCCCTGTGTCGGGCTCTGTGCTGACAGCTCAGAGCCTGGAGCCTGCTTCGGATTCTGTGTCTCCCTCTCTCTCTGCCCCTCCCCCCACTTGCGCATGCTCGCTCTCTCTCTCTCTCTCTCTCAAAAAATGAATAAACATTAAAAAAAATTTTTTTAATAAAAAAAAGAAAAAGAAGACCTAACTAAATGACTTGGGGGCCAAAGAGAAGACCACAGGGTGTGGGGAAAGCCGGGAAGACACAGATGAGGCAATTCTGACAGTAAAAATGGTGAAAAGAGAGCAGGTCGGTTTCTGCAACCCCGGCTCAATCGGTCGGGAACCCTGCTTCGGAGCTACTTCAACCCCCTTCCACCTGCCAATCTGTGACCCCGGTTCTAATGCCATCTGATCCAGGTTGCCCACCTCCTGCTGCTTGCTTCTGGTGAGTTCGGCTGCCTGGCGTTCCTCCTGGAGCCCCCGAAGGACCTCTGCCCGCTCGGCTTCGTGCCGGTTCCAGCCCTCCACCACGCGGGCCAGGGTCTCAGGAGAGGAGAGTCAGATGGCATTTCAAAATCATTGTTTTGCCCTCTTTCTGCCCGCAGGAGCGGGGTCAACAGCCACCTTCTCCCAGGATCGGGAAATCCACACCGGGCCCCAGCTCCCAGGGTGAGCACAGAAATGCCGGCCGGCCACCCCGTTTACCCTTCCCCCCATGGAGAGCCCCGCCCGCATTCTGCTCCCCTGGCACCTTGTCCAACTGCTCGATCATAACATCTTTCTTGCGGTCGGCAGTCACAGCCACAGCTAACTGTTGCTGAAGCTCCAGCACTCGGGTCTGGAGGCTCTGAATATGGCGCTCGCAATGCTGGGAAGAAGGGTGACAAGTGGGGGTGACCGTCCCTAAGCTGACCAAAGCATCAAACTTCCCAGGTCTTCTCGGTGAAAACGGGCTGGACAGAGGGAGCTTGGTCCCCAGAACAGAGGAGGTTTGGAGAAGAAGAATCAGGAATTCTGGAGCAGGAAACTTGAAGCCTCCAACGCCTTCCCCTACCATCTCAGGAGACAGGGGCTTAGCTTCCAGGCTCTTCCTTTTCCTGGCTCTCCCGAGAAGAATTCCCATGAACCCTCTGGTAGCAGCGCGACAGCCCACAAGGCAAAGAGTGGGAGGTCACTCCTGCCTCAAGAAGTTCATCGGGCACAGTGATGAAACACAGCAAAGACAGGAGAAAGCCTTTCATCCATGCCCAGGTGACTTAAGATCAAGGAAGAGACAACACAACCAGTGATTCTGACGCTTCCTCTGCCTAGTCCCTCTCTCTGCCCACCTCAGAGAGGCTGGAGATAAAGCTTGCTAGGTCACCAATAACTGCAAAGCCTTTGCACAAGCTAGCGAGGCTTGTTCATTCACCACGCGCTTATGGGACATTGCTTTGCTTTGCGTCAGGCATGTTCTAGACCTTAGGAAGACAGGGCGGAACGAGATAAGGTATGGCCCCCGTGGAGCTTAGATTTCAGAGGGGAGAAATGAGATATATCGGGCTGTGGTAAGCAGCTATATGAAGGAAAGAACAGAGCAACCCGACTGAACGCGGGGAGGAGGAATGTGCCATTTTAGGTCAGATGGTCAAACACGACCACCCTGAAGGGCCATTTGAGCAAAGTCTCGGCTTGCAGGCCCTTAACCCTCAGCCCTGTTCAGCACCCGGCCTATTTCTAATCGTTGCTGCTTTCAAAAGGAAGCCTCGGTAACTCACCTTGCGACGGGTATGCTCTGAATCCAGGGCATCCCTCAGGCCCTGGAAATCCGGGGGATTGAGCGGGGGTCCTGGCCGAAGACTGGCATAGCGGGGAAACAGCTCCTCCAGGGCTTGGGCCGAGCTGGACGGAGATAAGTCTTGCAGGGGCCGGGTGCTGAGCAAACCAGGTAGAGAATGTCAGGGTGGGGAAAGCTTTTGAGATCCCCTAGTCCAACTGTGACGTTTTACAAACGTGGAAACTGGAACTCAGAAAGGGCCAGAGACTTGCCCAAAGTCACGGAGCTAGACAGTGACACGGCCCCCAACAGCACTTAGGTCCTGTGATTCACTCTCTAGCGCTCCTTCCTGCACACCACGCTCCCCGCAGTAACAGTCTTAGCAGAAACAAGCCAACTCTTCCGGGGGAAGAAGATACCTGGGAGAAAGCCAGGTACCAGGCAGGAGATGCCCACGTCCCTGAAGTAAAGGAGTTAGAAGCCAGGAGAGAAAGGATGAAAACTGAAAGGTAAGGGACAAGCATCTTAGGTCCTTAAGAGGTTCAGAAGCAGGAAGGAGAGAATTATGGAACGGAACCCTTGGCTTTCCAGGCAAGCAAGTGAGCAGAACCCAAGGGGGACTCACTTCAGCAAGGTGGCTGTGCTGTCACTGTCAAAGGAGTCCTCTTCTCGTCTCTCTGAGCCGGCACCTGGAGTGAGGGGGTCCCCTGCAGGCAGCCAGAGGGACCCCAGAGCCAGGGTCAGGTAAGACTTTGGAACAGGGACCACTTGAAGGAGAAGAGAGGAGAGGGCCTTCCTTTCTACTGCACCCACCCCTCTGGCCCCTCTCCCAAAGAACCGGAGCCTCTCCTGAAACCTGAGTCTTCCTTTCTCCACCTTCTCCCGCCCCTTACGTCTGTGCACTTCTTCATGGTCAAGGGGTTTACTCACGATGGGCTGTATCACGGGAGGTCTGGAGCAAGCTCTGAAGTTGACCCCGAACACTTTCCATCTCAAAGATATGCTTCGAACCATCCTAGGGGGAAAAAAAAAAAAAGGCAACATGAAAATCAGATGCACACTGAAAAACCTATGTTAGACTGCATGAGACAGATGACATCATTTGCACCCCCCGCCCCCCCGCCCTGCCAACCCAAGAATTTTTACTCCGGCACCTGGGAGAGCTAAGAAAAACAGAACTGACTCAACTCAAACGTCTGCAGAAGCCAGACAGGTAGTGGGAATGAATTAACTAGGCACATTAAGACAAGACTGGTGGGGCCTTGTCTCAGCTAGAGCAAACCCTCTTCCGAAGACATTTACAGTCCGTGGCAGGGGCAACTGGTCTGCAAATTGTTCATTTTCCCCATATACGTAACTACCGCGCACTTTCTGCTGCGATGGCCCGTACGACTGATCAGGCTGTGTTTTAATGATTTAGATGCCAAACTTTACACCATACAATCAAAAATAACTTTGTGACTGGGAGGAGCTTGCGTTTGCTGTCCTTATCACTCACTCTCACTGGTGCGGGTGTCAATCAAGCACGCAGTGCAGGTGTCTCTGACCTTGCCGTTAAGTTTCATAATTTTCCCTGATATGTCCCTGGGCCACTCTGCCTCGCAAACATTTGCTCCAGAGAGCGAGCATAAAGGACTCTAGTTAAAAGCAATGTGAGGGGCGCCTGGGTGGCGCGGTGATTCGCGTCGACTTGACTCCGCGAATCGCGATCTTGATCGTCGTGATTCGGGAGAAGCCCAGCGTGGGCTCTCGCCTGGGCTGATGGCTCAGAGCCTGGAGCCTGTTTCCAATTCTGTCCCTCTCTCTCTGCCCCTCCCCGATGGCTATGTCTCTCTCTGTCCCAAAAAAAGAATAAGCAGTTGAAAAAAAAAAAGCAATGTGAGAAATCCAACAGAGGGGTTCCAAATCTCAGCAAAAGCCATTTTTTTTAACCACCCAATCCCAGACCCTGGAGGTCCCAAGACACCTCTCTCTGCCACCAAGTTGTCTCCAATCCCAACTGACAATATGCGTCTCAGCTCTTGGGCAGAAAAAGAAGGAAAGCCATCTAACATCTCATAGGAGGTGGGAGGAGGAGGAGGAGGGCAGATACAGCTGGAGGAGGGGCTGTGGCCTCACTGCACCACAGGCTTGAGGGTACAAAAGAAGCATGAAACTGGAGGAGTCACCTCAGAGACATTTGGTTCAGCCCAGGGAATGATGAATCACTCGAGTCACCAGCGGAGGGGGTGAACTGGGAACCGTAACTGATATTAGCCATGGGTGCAAGAAAGAGACTGCAGACGGTGACAGTCCTGCTTGTAGGACAGACCAGAGGGGGAAACCTGCACACCCCGGAAGAAGGGTGGAGAAAGGAGGAAACAAGCCAAGGATCTTGACTAATGCTTTTGACATGTGGAGGCTTTCTGGTTAGAAAGGAGAAAGGTTTCTGGCAGTTTCAGGAGGCCATGGGAGAGGGCAAGCAGCATTTCCCTCCCACAGCTCCTGGGGGAACCCAGTGGAAGGAGGTGCCTGCACTGCAGCAAGAGGTGGGTGGGAGGGACGAGGAGCGGAGGTAACAGGCACCCTGCATTCCCTGAGGGGAGGCTCACATGATCAACTTGGCGCAGCCATCACCCCGGTCCAGCTGAACTCAACATTACAGAGAAAATGAGCTCAAACCCAATAAGGGCCTACTTCCCTCCAGCCGCCCACCTTTTCACTTTTTGGTTCGGTCTCGGGGCGGGGACATAGGGCCTCCCCCACCAGGCTCACCCTCCCGCCATACCTGTTTCACCCAGCCCTCTTGTATATCCCCTCCGACCCCTTCTACTGGCAGGAAACCATAGTGGTTCCTAGCAGCCTCCTCCTCACTCGCTCTCCAGGATTAACTGATGAACGCTCGGTCCTCCTCATATCAGACGTCTAAAGGGTGCACGCCCTCCCAGGCAGCCTGCGTCCTCTACTGACCACCCCTCACGCGGCTCTCGCCACCACCTTGGACCTCGGCCCCCTCCGGTTTGCCACGGTCGACAGGGAATCCCCTCCCTGGGCAGGCGGTCCCGGGGAGACCAGGGACGCCTCCACCCGCACTCACGCGCTTCCTCTGCGCTCCCAGAGCCAGGTGCAGCGTACGCCGCCGTCCGCAGCCCAGCGTACCTCCGCTTTGGGGGCAGTGACGCGATCCACCAGCCCAGGCTCTTTCCTCGCATGGCAGCAGCTCGGACGGCTTCTACCAAATTTAAGACGCGCACACCGTGCTGGCCAGCTCCCAGCACTGGATTGGCTATGGGGAAGTATGGGCAATTAGCGCCCACTCACCTGCTGTGAGGGGGAGCAGGTTGGGCGCCTGCAAACGGAGAGGTAGTGACGGGCACTGGAACTGGTTCAGTGAGTCAGGAGGTTCCCCGCCAGCTGGGGAGTCAGGGGCCCGAAAAGCTGGAGGTACACACCAGGACCGGCAGGAGGAGGAAGGTGCTGTGGGCGGGCTCTCGGAAGCAGGGAAGCATTCCCTCCCTGCAGATGACTGTTCCCACAACCTGTACCTATTTGACCAAAAGGAATGGGTGTGCATGCACTACAGCAGTGGCACATAAAAAAGCAAGCGAGGTCCCCAAAGGAGGAGGTGACAGGGGAGGACCCCACCTGCAATCCAGACCTCGCATCTCCAAACACACACAGTCTTGGCCTTCTCTCAAACTACGGCTGGTTCCACCCCTACCCCGTCTCCTTCAACAGCCGAGGAGCTAACTCTGTCCTCTCCCTAGGGTACAAGCTGATGTACGGCATGCTCTTCTCTATCCGCTCCTTGTCCTTGAATCACATATGGGCATGCGCTGAGTCAAAAAAAAAGGTGTTGAGGGAAGGAGGGGCCAGTCTTGGGGGGGCTGGGGAGGTGGGAGACTTTGTGGAGTGGAAGAGACATTGGACCCCAGGAAGGAGGCAGGCAGAGGAGGAAGCTGAGTCTGGAGCGAGAGTGCTGGGGCTGGCCAGAACGGGGGGGGGGGGGGGGGGGGGGAGGGAGGGAGGAGGAAGATCTGAAGGTAGAGAGGTTGCATGCAGGGGCCGAATTGAGGGGTGAAAATGGGAGGTGTCTTTACCAAATGAGGCTCCTACAAATGAGGTGTTTAGGGAGTCCACCTAGACGGGATCTAAAGTATCTCTTTGGGAGAGATTATGCTCCCATTCCTTAACGTCCTCATCATCTCTGCAGGAAGGACGGCTTCCTGGCCTTCCAAACTAGCCGTTACAAACTTCATTACTACGAGACTCCCACTGGGATCAAGGTTGTCATGAATACTGACTTGGGCGTCGGACCCATCCGAGATGTACTGCATCACATCTACAGTGCGGTCAGTGCCAGCCCCCGGGACCCTTCCTTCCCCTAAAGCTCCTCAACAGCCAGGGCCACTTAGAGCCTCAAGACTCCTTCCGCTTCCCTGCCCTAATCTTACTGTATCATAGCTCTGTTGAAGTCAGGAGTTTCCTGGGGACTCTTTATGTCCTTAAACACCACTGCTTTCTCCTCAGGAAGGGCTTGACTCCCAGCCCTTAATCCTTTTGCATTCACACACCCCTGAGGTTATATACTAGGTTTGGGGTTGAAAATAAGAAGTTACAAAGCCTGGCTCTAACACCCTTCCCCTCCATAGCTGTATGTGGAGCTGGTGGTGAAGAATCCCCTGTGCCCGCTGGGCCAAACTGTGCAAAGTGAGCTCTTCCGCTCCCGACTGGACTCCTACGTCCGCTCTCTGCCTTTCTTCTCTGCCCGGGCTGGCTGAAGGAAGCACTCTACCTCACCCTCCAGGAGACTCGCTGTCTGCCTGGGGCGCTGCCTAACCTGTTTGACATGAGGGCTCCCACTGCATGCCCCTCTACCCCCTCAAGCTCCCCAGCAGCCCTCCCAGGACAGCAGCCTAAAGCCCTCCCTGGTGCCCTCCCGGCCCAGGTAGGAAGCCCGCAGGAATCCTCACACCTCCAAACCAGGCCCTCTCCAGTTTTATCTCCTACCTGATGCTGCAAAAGTACAGAATAAACTTTTGGTAACCCTTTGCAGCCTAAGCGTGTCAATTTGAGTGGTTGATTGGGGTCCTGCCCCACTCACGAAGGGATTAACCAGGGTGGCCACATCCCCTGAGCCTGTAAAGAGGCTTTGTCATGGGTTATGTCCAGATAAACCCGTTGTAAGTTTAAAATGTCGTAAGTCGAAAATGCATGTAATACACCTACCAAACATCATAACATAGCCTAGCCTACCTCACATGTGATCAGAACACTTACATTAGTCTATGGTTGGGCAAAATTATCTAACACAAAGCCTATTTTATAATAGTGTTGAGTAGGTCATGTGATTTATTTGTTTTTTATTTTATTTTTTTATTTATGTTTTTATTTTAGAGAGAGAGTGTAGGGGAGAGGGGGCAGAGGGAGAGAAAGAGAGACTCTTAAGCAGGCTCCACGCAGAGCGTGGAGCTTGGCACGGAGCTCAATCCCACGACCCTGGGACCATGACCCGAGGTGAAATCGAGAGTTGGACTGCCGCTCAACAGACTGAACCACCCAGGTGCCTCTCATGTGATTTTCTGAATACTATACTGAAAGTAAAAAACAGCACGATGTAAGTGTATCAGTGGTTTACCCTTGTGATCCAGTGGCTGACTGGGAGCTGAGGCTTCCTGCCACAGCCCTGCATCAGGAGAGAGAGGTATCATACAGTATCTTACTAGCCCAGAAAGATCAAAATTCAGAGTATGATTTCTACTGAATGCCTATTGCTTTTGCACCATCATAAATTTAAAAAAATGTTAAGTCAAACCAGAAGTGGGGACCATATGCGTTGACATTTGGGACTGGATAAACCCTTGTTAGGGGCAGAGGGGCTATCCTGCCTTTTGTCCTGGCCGCCACTCACTAGCTGCTGATAGCACATCCCCACCCCCCAACCCCAGGGGTGACTGTCAAAACTGTCGCCAGACCTCGCCACACGACCCCTAGGGGTAAAATCGCCCCCAACTGAGACCCACTGTGCCGAGGAAGGCCGACCTGCTGCGGGTCCCAGGGGCTCCGATAACCAGCCTCCCTCCTCCCGGCTTCCACCCTCCTCCCGGCTTCGCTAAGCACACAGAACGTTCAAGCTGCGGAGCCTCCGGAGGAGGGGCTTATGCAGATGAGCGGCGGGCTTGGCTGGGAGGCGGGCGGCTTTATGCAGATGAGGGGGCGGTGCCTGCATGTTGATTATCTGGGCCCGCTGCCGACGCTACTGGGAGCCTAGCGGTCCCGCTGCGGTTTGGGCTGGGGTGGCATCTCTCTTACACCGCCACCCCTCGTTCCTAGGTCCCCATCCTCCGAGGACCGCCCTCGACCTTTACCCTCACCCATTTCCCCCTCCTCCCCGCACCAGGGCCCCCGTATCTGAGTATCTGCACTCGTGCCGCCCCCCGCGTCTCTCCCCTCCCGCCGCAAACCCCGCGACCTCCAGCAGCCCGCCCCCGTGGGCCCGATCCCGCCCCGCGGCTCCCGCCGCAGCCTCCTCCGCCTTCCCGCTCTCCCAGGGCTCGCGCCACTACACCCCCCGGCCGTCCGCGCGCGGGCTTCCCTGTTCCCTCCTCCTCCCGCCCCCTCGGAGCCCCCTCCCCCGCCCTGGCCAGCAGACATGCAGGTGTCTATCGCTTGTACCGAGCAGAACCTTCGCAGCCGGAGCAGTGAGGACCGTCTGTGTGGACCCCGGCCGGGCCCCGGGGGCGGTAACGGCGGGCCGGTCGGCGGGGGGCATGGGAATCCTCCAGGGGGAGGAGGGTCGGTCCCTAAGGCCCGGGCCGCACTGGTGCCCCGACCCCCAGCGCCCGCGGGGGCCCTCCGAGAGAGCACCGGCCGAGGCACTGGCATGAAATACAGGTATGGGGGTGGCCGAGCAGCCCACCCCATCTGCTCCCCTTTTCGGACCCCTGAGATTTCCTGGGATGCCTCCAGGACCCGTCAATCTTCGCTAAGAAGATCCCAGTTCACTCCACCTCTTCTTCCCTTCACCGGGGCTCTCCCTTACTCGGTCCCTCTCTCTTTGTCTTCGTCGATCCCCTGAGTAGGAGAAAACCAACTTTACCAAGGCTGACCGGTCCTGTCAGAGCCAAGGGATGCCCCTGAACTCCCCTCCATACCCCCAGGAAGTCCAGGGATGCACGGATCTCCAGGCTGGGCCCCCTCTGGGATGGAGTGTCCTTGGGTCCGTGTCCTGGGAAGAGGGGGGAAGGAAACGGCTTCTCACTCTGGCCTGCTCAGGATGCCTGACCCAGATACTACCCCCGCTCCCTGCCCCAAGGGCTGGGTCTCCTGCCACCTTTCTTGGTGGGGAGGAGAGTGGGGCTCTTGGAAGCATGGGGCACATCTCTCAACCCCTTGCTGAGGGACAGGGGCTTGGTGGAGAAGGTGGACTGAATCATAACCGACTTTCTCGGAGTCCCACTGGGCTCTCAGAACTTGCATTAGGGCAGAAGGGAGGGCCTCCTGCCTGGGAGTGAGCAGAGGTCACTGATCTGACCTGACTTTGTCACTTGAGCAATCTGATCTCCTCCATGTGTTGGCTTTGAGTGAGGAGGCCTTGGGAGGAGGGGGCTCTCTGGTTCAGAGACAAGACTCCACAACCCAACAGCAGTGGAGGGAGGAAGAGACAGAGCTGGCCTTTCCTGTCATAGTCCACTCAGGTGGTCCCAGCTGCGTTTTGGGGGCCCATCAGCCTAGCCTGTCCAAGGACCCTTGCCTGCCTGAGTGCCTGAACTTGACTTGGTTTACCCCCTTCCACCTCAGTGTCTGCCCTGTGGTATAGCACCCTCTATCTAAGGGTCTGATTTCACCAACTGACCACAATCAGCCTGTCACATTCCTCCCAGCCTTGAACTCCACACATCCCAGAGATGCCTGGAACGCAGACAAGACCCCAGCAGAAGAAATACAAACCGGGCAGCACACACCTCCCATGTGCTAGGAGGGACAGGGGCACTGGACATCGGCTCCAGAGTCATTTATTTGTTCACTTAGGCTTTGGGCATAGCACTGCCCATTGCGGTAGGCCCACGGATCTAGTTCCTTTGGACTGAGATACCCTGAGGGCTTCTGATTCTGGAAGGAGAGGAGCTGGGGGCTGAGAATATATGCCCTTAATGGAGGCTCCACCCCTTCCTGCCGCTTCTGTATCCTGCAGGAACCTGGGAAAGTCTGGTCTTCGAGTATCCTGTCTTGGCCTAGGTGAGTTCGAAAGAAGAGGAATGAAGGGAGGGGGCCTTCGTGGCTTGCCTCCCACCTGACTTCTCTCTTGCAGGCACCTGGGTCACATTTGGTTCTCAAATCTCGGATGAGGTATCAGTGATGGGACCTGGAAGCAGGGCCAGGGGCTGTGAGGGAACCAGAAAAGAGGGATGTGGACGTGGAGAGCAGTTTGGACAACAACCAGGGAGAATGGCGGACCTGAGGCTGGGGACGGGGGGGAGGATGTGGAGGCCAGGGCTGAGCTGCCATGGGCGGGAGTGCAGTGAGGGGGGTCCCTGAGGGCCAGTGGTTGGTCTTCATCTCTTTCTCTCACCTCCCTAGACAGCAGAGGACGTGCTGACAGTAGCCTATGAGCATGGTGTAAACCTGTTTGACACGGCTGAAGTGTACGCAGCGGGAAAGTAAGGACTGGGGTGAAAAAGCCAAGTTACCCTTGAAAGGCTAAGAGAACCTCGGGGCTTCTTGTTTTCCCTCTGGGGGACCTTGGGAATTCTGTAACCTCGAACTTCCAACCTTTCAGCCAAGGGGCCCCCAAAGCACTATGGGAATTGTAGTCCCAACAAGTTCATCTTCAGCTTAGAGGGCGAAGGGCATCCTGTGCAATAAAACTGAAATAAAACCAACACCTATATCCTGGGCATCCGTTATATGCAACGATGTGAGGATTACAAAGCTGAATTTTCAAACATGCCAGGCCACGCGTCACATACCCATGGCTTCACGCTGGGAGTAGCTAAACCCTAGATGAGCTCCCTCACCAACCCCCCCCCCCCCATCCCCCTGGCCTCTTCTCCATCTGGCTAACTCTTCAGCTTATCTTCAAGACTTGGCCCAAATGTCAGCTCCTCCGAGAAGCCATTGTCCAGCTCCCCAAACTGGTCACCACTCATCTCAGGTCCCAAAGCCCTTTATACTGCCCTCTGATGCACAATCTGTCAATTACTGGTTTATTGTAGCCATATTTGCTGCCCAGCTGGGAGGCTCCTCCTTCCGTGAAATTTGTCTTCCTCTTCCTCATGTCACCTCCGTAGCTACGCAGAGCCTAGCACAGAGCAGCCACTGCTTGTGGGATGACAACACACCCTCCTAAGGCTCACGGTTGAAATGGTTAAACCCAAGACACAGGGAGATACGCAAGGTTAAATAACAGGAAAACTAAAGTAATAGTCCCCGAGACCATTTAAGACTTGTCACGTGTTGGTTAGCTCCTAATTAAGTGCCAAACAATTGGGTCAATAAAAGTTATGGAAAGTGACAAGAAGGGCTGACCGTAGACTGTGGCAATCAGAGAACACTTTCAATAAAATGAAGCGGAATCCAAGCTGAGCCTTGGACGCTGTGGGGGATTTCGCAGAGGATCGAAGAAGGGAGAGGGCAATGCAGATGATTGGAACCAGACCAGATGATGCGGTGTCTCCACCCACCCCCCACTTTACTACTCTGTTCTTCTCTCATCATCTTATTCTATCCCTTTGGCGCCTGGAACAGAACTTGGTACACAGTTGATGTACAACTGATATTTGTGGTGTGAATGAAAGCTAAAGGACTATACCCCTCCTTCTGGGAGCCCCTCTTATTTTGTCCAGGATGGTCTGACAGCCTAATGGGCTCCTGGCTTATGGTCCACTTTACGAGAGAGGAAATCCATTGAAGGGAAAGGTCGGGAGGAGGGGAAGGAACTGACCCACGCTGGCGGGATCAGTGCTTCTGCATTGTCTTTCTTCTAGGGCTGAAAGAACCCTAGGCAACATCCTCAAGAGCAAAGGATGGAGGTAAGACCGTGTTTTGAGGGGTTGCTGGGGAAATGATCATCCAACATCCCTTCTCTTGCTTGTCTCTCTTTCGCTTTTTCCAGGAGATCAAGCTATGTTGTCACCACCAAGATTTTTTGGGGAGGACAGTAAGTGGCCGCCACACTCTATGTGGGGAGATCTACAGAGAATGCGTGCAGGTGCATGGGAGAGGTGTGGGTACAGCTGCCACCCCAGGTCTGTGTCCTGCCCGTGAGGACCCACGCCGTCCCAGTTTCTCATGGCACCAGGCCAGCCCCGGTCCCCTATCTTTGTCACACCTCATCTTTGACTTATCTTTTTCTGCAGGGCAGAGACCGAGCGAGGCCTGAGCCGCAAACACATCATTGAGGGTGAGAGTTAGGGGCTGGGAATCTGCCGGGGCTGGGTACAGAAGCCAGAGGAGTTGGGAATGTCTTCCGAGACTCTGAGTTGGAGGCTTTGAGTAGGGGAGTGGGGAGCTAGGTGGCCATGGCAAGGGGGTAATGTCTAAATCCTTCGGGGAAACTGAGGCTGAAGTGCTTACCTTCCTCTCCCCACCCCTTCCCCAGGCCTGCAAGGATCCCTGGAGCGCCTCCAGTTGGGATACGTGGACATCGTCTTTGCCAACCGCTCAGACCCCAATAGTCCCATGGAGGGTAAAACCAGCACCCCAGCCCTGACGGTCCCCCAAAGCAGCACTTCCTCAAACTCTCAGCAGGAAGCCAGCCCCTGCTCAGGAGGCCTCCCAATCTGCACAGTGGAGGCTCAGACCCCAGGTCTTAGATGGGGAGGGAGGTGAAGTGCAGTTACCAACCTCTCTGATTACACAGAGATGCCTGGGGTCTTGGTGGGGTAAGCAGAGGGCTACAGATATGGACTCCTGGATGCCAGGGGTCT